TTCCCCTGGAACTGGAGTTACAGACAGCTGTTAGCTGCCATGTGGATGCTGAGAATTGAACCTGGGTCCTCTGCAAGAGCAGCCAGGACTCTTAAACACTGAACCATCTCTTCACTTCCCTGTTTTCTAGCTTTTTAAAAGATCTTCAAGTCTAATCTGTGTCCCCAAATGTTCTTTGGTGTGGGTCCTCCTCTGGAGTCTGATCAACCCACTCAACGTCATATTCTTAAAAAAAACTGCCTCTCCCTCTCCCAGCAGCTATCAATTGCCCATTGATAGTTGGAGTTGGGGCTGTTTGCCCACCTGCCCTACTCCATGCTGGGATTTTGTCTGGCTTGAGCTTGTGTAGGTCTTGTGCATGCTGTCACAAGAGCTGTGAGTTCATTTGTGCAGTTGCCCTGCTGTCTTGATAACAGTGACTCCTTGTCCACTACTTCTGGCTCTTACGATCTTTCTACCCCCTCCTCCACAATGATCCCCAAGCCTTGGGAGGACGGGGTGTGATATAGGTGTCTCATTTAGTGCCAAGAACTTGAGAACTCAGCAGTCTCTTATTTTCCACAGGTTGACCAGTTGGGGGTTTCTATGTTAATCATTCATGATCTGCTGCAAGAAGAAGCTTCTCTCATGAGAGTTGAGAGATGCATTCCTGAACGTATAATAGCTGTGATCACCTGCACAAGATATGCACAAGACAGGGCCCACCAACATCCTGTTATAGAGAGAGTAGGGCCTCATGGATCTTCACCCCTCCTGGAGGATTTTTATGTAGTTAACAGTTGGGAGGAGGAAGAGATAATATCTTCAGTGGTATAACCACTGGTAAGGTGTCCATGTGTCTATAAACAAACCTAGTGAAACTCATTGGGAAGGAAAGAGGGAGAGGGAGAGGGAGAGGGAGAGAGAGAGACAGAGACAGAGACAGAGAGAGAGGAGAGGGAGAGAAAGGGAAAGAGACAGAGGTAGAAAAAAGATTACTTGGGAAGAGGAAGGGGATTAGTGAGAACAGGAGGGGACAAGAAAGGGTAATGAGGGGTGGCAGTGAATGTGACTGGACTACATTATGTATATATATAAAATGTCATAATGAAACCCATTATTATGTATAGTTCATATGTGTTGTACTGGTTAGCTTTTTTCAACTTGTCACAAGCTAAACACACCTGGGAAGAAAGAACAGTTGAGGAATTTCCCTCATCCAATTGGCCTGCGGGCATGTCTGTGGGGGCATTTTCTTAATTGGTAATTGATACAGGAGGGCCTAGCCCACTGTGGGTGTTGCCATCCTTGGACAGTTGGACCTGAGATGTATAAGGAGGATAACTGAGCAAGCCAGTAAGCAGCATTCCTCCATGATCTCTGTTTCAGTTCCTCCCTCCAACAGGACCATATCTCTTAAACCTCCACAAAGAGCATCAACTGGGGACCAAGTGTTCAAATAAGTGACCCTATGGGGGGAAGTTTCTCATTCAACCCATCACACCCCAGCCCAAAGGCTGGAGACTCAAACCAGTGTTTCTAATCCTCCTGGGCTAAGAATACCCAAGAATGCCAAGCAGCAGGTCATCTTGAGGACTACACATAGGCAAGAGAAACACCTCCACCACTGTACAAGCCCTTCATATCTTGTTTTCCCCCTTAGGATAATCATGGAAAACTGCCTTCAGTTTCCTTGAATTCCTGCTAAGACGAATTCTCAAAAACTGCAAGAAAGTTGAAAGATCTAAAAAACAAGGCTAATATTCTACTGCAAAACAATCTGGGCTGATACCTGGGTGTCAGCATCTTTGTCAGTACTAGTCATCGTTATATGCATGCCATCATCTTGATTTGCCCATGTTGCTTCTAACATCTTTAGTCGGCATCCTCCATGTGGCTGTTGCCATCTTTGACCAACACAGTTACAATCTGTCTGCAGTATGTGGATGGACTTTTGGGTGTCATGCAATACCACCCCCAGGTATGTTGGGCACATGTGGCTCTATACATGCCCAAGCCCATTTATTGCCATAGTGTATGTGGAGAGGAGGCAGCCATGTTCCTCTTGCCACAGAGGCATTCATCTTTGGGCTAAGTTCTTGTCCGGCAGCCACAGGTGCATATGCTTTGTGGCTCCAGCATGAGTCTGGCTATTTTCTGGCAGGTAAGGGCAAGGGTCTAGATGCACACTCAATCCATACCCCCATTGTGTTAGATAGTTTCAAATTGACACACCTGTAAGAGGGAACCTCAATTGAGGAATTTTCTCCATTGGATTGACCTGCTGTCATATCTGTGGGGCATTTTCTTCATTATTGAGTGATGTGGGAGGCCCCAGCCCGATGTGGGAGGACCCAGTCCTATGTGGGTGATGCCACCTGGGTAGGTAGTCCAAAGTTGTATGAGAAAGCAGGTTAGGCACTGGCCAGGGGAGCAGATCAGTAAGCAGCATTCCTCCATGGTCTGTGCTTCAGCTCCTGCTTCCAAGTTCCTGCCCTGACTTCCCTCAGTGATGAACTGTGACCCAGAAGATGTGAGATAAAATAAACCCTTTCCTTGCCAAGTTGGTTTGATCAGTGTTTTCATTAGAGCAATAGAAAGTAACTAGAATAGAAGCTGGTTCCAGGATTGTGGGGTATTGCTGTAATAAACCTGACCATACATGTCTGAGAGGATTGTGTAAATTTTTGGAGCTTTTGACAGGAAAAGTGCTTGCAACTTAGTGAGCTGTTCTGTGAGGGCTCAGAGAAATGCAGATGATGGAGAGTTGGATGATGGGATTTTAAGGGAAGTAAAGACTATCAGGGCTGTTTGTGTGATATTTTGAATTGAGGATTTATGATTTCTGTTCATCTGGAGCTGAACAACCAGCTGTGATTAACAAGAGGCCAGCACCACTGAAGTGAAACCTTTGCTTTACTAGAACAATTGATACTGGTTAGTTAAGGCCGAAAAATCATCTCTGATTAAGAAAAGGCCAGCCTCATCTCATTATGGTGAAATCTGTGAAGCATTTCCTTAGGGTCAGCATATAGAAACTGTGATTCGGAGGGGGCCAGAGGTTCCATCTCAAGTTTGAAGTAGGACTTGGTAATGGGTAAGAGTCTTCTACATGGTACTGGTTTTGAAGTCATGAATGGGTCATGGAGGACAGCTAAGGCATGGCACCATGAGAGGCCAGGAGAGGCCATTGGTGAAGGTACAGTCTCAGTTGTGGTGAAAACTTCCCCAGGATTAAAGGGGTCATGAAGAAGATCTGAGGCTTGGTACTGTGTGAAGCCAGAAGAGGCCATCAGTCAAGGTGCAGGCTCAGTTTCAATGGAGTCTCCTGAATACTGGAGATTTAAAGACCACGGGACGCCCACCAAGGGCATATAAATTATATTGGAAAATTGTTATGTGTTGTTTGAGTTTGTTAAAAGTAGATTCCTGGAGTGAGAAAGACCTTCTTGTCTCAAATTTAAGCATATTTATCACCAAAAGAGTCTCCTGAGTTGTGGTTGAAGGTTCATGTTGGCTATGATAACAGTTTTACAAATTTTAATTTAATCATTTGTGTGTATTGTTGTGTGTGTGGTATATGTATGTGTGTGTTCATATTGTGTCCTTCCAGAGACCAGAGATAAAAGTTGTCTTCTTCTATTATTTTCCAGCTTGTTTTTTTGAGAAAAGGTCTCTTCACTGAACCTATAGCTTACGAGCCAGCTTGGGTGAGTTCAAGGCCAGTCTCAGATACAGAGGGAGACCCTTTCTTAAAAACTATAGATGCATATTTATTATAGAAAGAGATTAAAAGATGCTACCTTATACCAGGTGGACATTGCCCCTACTAGACACCATAGGATAGCAAAGAAGAAGCCCAATGACAGCAATAGACTCCTTCTTTTGAAGCTGTTGACAGGGACCTTATAGACCTTTGAGCAATACTGGACATTGCCCCTACTCTTGGTTACCCATGAGAACTTGATGATAAGATTCTATTGCTGAAGACACTACATACATGAGTTGTAGAACAAGGAGAAATCAAACTGTTACTAACTTCAAAGCTTCATCTCTACTTGCTTTCATAGTGCTGGAAGGTGTTATGCATGCTACATGAAGAGAAAACTAATTATTAACCTGATCCAGCTGCGAGTCCTATGAGCTACAACAACTGGCCTGGTAATATATTCCTAAGATATTCCCAGTGATACAATAGTGTCGCTGCTATTATTGGAGTAACCAACCACTTTCTAATTGGGTTTACTGTCCACTTCATAAGGTAGAGCCCATAAGATCAGGCCTAGGAACCTGTGTCTAGGCAGGACACAGACCAGGTCATAGGGATGACCCTGCTATGATTATTCTGCTAAACAGATATAGTATTAGACTGACTCCTAATGACTTATTGTTATACCCATAGATTAATGCATCTCTCACCTCTCCAGAGAAGCTGGATGGTGATCAACACAGAGAACTACAACTGGCCAACATGCAGAGAATAAGAGACTGCAGAGTAATTATCCATGATTTGGACACCTATATCAAACTTCTGCCTCCCAAGGCTCAGGGATCATTGAAGAAGAAGGTACAGAAAGATGGTAAGAGCCAGAGGAGGTAGATGCACAAGGAATTAGAGTTTTCCAGACAGCTGGTCAGTCACAGCAATGGCAACAGCATGTACAAATACCAGGTAAGCTCAAGCTAGGCAAAATCCTAGCACAGACTGGACTCCAGTGGATGGGCCAAAGGGCATCTTGGGAACACAATTTTGATTCTATAGGCGTTTTCATAAATATATATATTTACATGAAATTGGGTGGAGGGATAGTAAGGGGGGTATAGAAAGGGAAGGGGTTCTAAATACGATAAAAATATATTGTATAAAATTCACCAAAATTCAAAAGAAACAAACAAACAAACGTGCAATAAACAAAACAAGGACTAGAGCTTGTTACATGCCGCAGGACAGACTAAAGATATAATTCCACCTGTGTCTAGCCTGGTGAACCAATGAATTTACTGGGGTGACTTATAGAAGCATGGATGAGGGTACTTATAAGATGAACCTTGAACGAGGTCAGTCACAAAGGACTCAATGATACAAGAATCCGTTTTTATAAAATGCCCCAAATAAGCAAATCTACAGATCCAGAGAGTAAATTTATGATTGTTAGGAGAGAGAGACAGACAGAGACAGACAGAGAGAGAGAGAGAGAGAGAGAGAGAGAGAGAGAGAGAGCGAATGTAGATCATTTCTAATGGGTATGAGTTTCTCTTTCAGTAGGTTGAAAATTTCCTGGGCCTGGCTGTGTAAGAAAGGTAGCTGAGCAAGCCAGTAAGCAATGTTCCTTCACGGTCTCCCTGCTTCTAGTCCTACCTCTAGGTTCCTGACTTGAGTTCCTGAACTGACTTCCTGCAGTGAATTGTGACCTGGGAGTTATAATAAGATGAAATAAATCCCTTCCTCTCCAAGTTGTTTTTGGTCAGAGTCTTTTATCACAGCAATCAAAACCAAACCAGACAGGATTCTATCAAATTACAGTGCTGCATAGCAAAGCAATCAAGAGAATGGGAGAAAAGATTTATTAATTACAAATGGTTAAAACCCAGAATATAAAAGGAACCAAATAAGCAATATAACAACACAAAAACAAATACTCACCAGTCTGATTTTAAAACAAACAATAGACCTAAACAGGCCTTTCTCTGAAGAAGACCTAGGAATGGTCATGAGGTATTTAAAAACTGCACAACGACCAGGGAAATGCAAATCAAAACATGTCACCTCAGTTGGCACTGTAATTAGTAGGGGTAGAGAGGATTGCCAGGATGCAAAGAAAAGGGAATTCTTATATCTACTGGGGGGAATACAAATTAATATAATTACTATAGAAAACAATATGAGGGTTTCTCAAAAGACTACAATTAGAGTAACCCTGTACCCTGTTCCTGTTCCCTGCACAGCCTTTACTGCAGCCTTTACCCCGAAAAAACTGTAATTGGTGCAGGCTTTGTAGTCATTAGTCCAAAGCACTGCATCTGGAATTTGCTATGGTACACCACACTGAAATAGAGATACAGACTTCACAGAGCAAGGAGCTAAGTTTTTCTTTCTCATTCCTCCTGTTATAGGAAAATCAGACCAGCAGCCAAAGTCAGGAGAGGAGAGGCATTTAATTTTACGCTAGTGGACTGACCCATGGATCCTTCCGTAAAGGAGCCAGTACCCACTCCAGTTTTAGGGGTTTTAATATTCATGTGAGGAAGTACAGTAAAAGGCAAAAGAGCACATAGGTGACAATTAAGTAAAAGGCACATGTGATAATTAAGCAAGGTAACCTATGGCCACAAAGGTTACAGTATAAAAACTTGGAAAACAAAGACTTCCATCCAGGTCAACCATAGGGGCAAGGGGCAGGATGGGGGAGACTCCTGCTCACCTCTCTCATACCTCTCTCTCATCTCAGAGTTTTCTAAACTTTGGAGAACAAAGGACTTCTATCCTGAGTAACCACAGGAGGTCGGGGAGAAGACTCCAGCTTATCTCACCAGCACCAGCACCAGCACCACCAGCAACTGCGCCCCCCATCTCTTGTCTAAGGAGCTCTTCTTAATTACCATTTCCTTTATACTCCCACTTATCTTTGGGTTCTGGGTCAGATGGCTCTGCTTACAGCTCAAGAAAGCCAAGATTGGGCAATAAACTCCCACAATCTTCATCTTTATGCTTTACTTCCTAGAGGCATCTGGGAACAAAGAGAGGTTAGGATACCCTACAGGTTCTGTGGTACAGGGTCCAGAGCCAACAGCTGTTCCTGGGGAACTGCCTGAAGGACCTCAGTCTGCTTGTGCTGGCTTAAGGTGAGGTGATCTGACGTGCCAAGTTCTGGGACCCCCATATTCCCCTTGAATTTTCACCTAGGCTCCAGCATTGATCACACACTTGAGCTGGGTCTGGCAGCCAGAAATCCTCACTGAAGGCCATGGATCTGAGACTCCAGAGAGGGCAGGAGCAGTAAGACTTCCCTCATTGGCCTCCATATGATGGGACCCCTGCCATATCTCAGGTAACCTTTCCTACCTCTTCTGGGGCTGCTGGATTCCAAGTCCTCATCCCTGCCACCTCTTTGAGGCACATACCTCTCATGACCACCCTCCTCCCCTACCATCCTAAGTGCCCTCACTTGGAGGCTTCTAGACCTACCACCATATAGGTCAGGCAGTCATGTATACAGATTTATGGCTCTAGGCACTGGGCTTCCTTTTCAAATCTCTCCATCCCAGCTCTTTCTTCGGCAGATCCCTCTTTACCCTGCTCTGCTAAGGGTCTGCACACTGGTCCTGGGCAAGGCAATTTAGTTGTGGATGGTGACAAGGTACTTGGGATCCGTCTTCCCTGGACCCTGTGCATGGAGTGCCCCTGCCTTTCCATGGAAACTCCTGCCTCCCTCTACCTTTCCTGTACCCCTTACAAGTGCACAGCTTTGTCCTGTTCTGGTCTGTTCTACTGGGGAGGATTTCCAGGAGCCCTGGTGTTGGTAGATTTGGGTGGATCTGGGTAGACCTAAAGCTTCCCTTACCCTAGGCTCCCTGGGGAGAACACCCGCTGTGATGGGTGACCTGTACTACAGGCCTTTAGAGAATTCTAGAGCAGCTTCCTGGTCCTTGTGGATTGATGAGCCAAGGTGTTCTCGTTGTCACTGTCTCTCTCTCTTTGTAGTTTGTGCCCCTCCTGGAAGAGAACCATGGCCAGTTTTTTCCTTTTTCCACTTACCGTATCACATCTTGGTCCTGGAATGCCTAAAAGTCATAAGTCTCTGGTCAGGTTGGTGTGACTGGGGAGTGGGGAGCTTTGTCTCCTTTCCTGGGGAAAATACCAGGCATAAGCTGCCCAGTGTGTCCTGCCAGTAGGAGTCTCCTTTCCCCAGAAGTTTGTAGCCACGTCTTCGCTCCCTTTTTCTTCTTTGCCTCCCATCCAGGCTTAATTGGACTCACCCGACCCCTCTCAACCTGAAGGACAGATCAGAGGGACTTAGCACTGAAAGCAAGGGTCAGCATACAGTATACTTCATGCTAGCGGGTCACAAGTTCTTGATCTTTGGAGGCTCCATTCTTCCAGGTACCCAGGGAGTACCGGAAGGATCGTTTGCTGAAGCTTCAGGCCTGTGGCTTCAACACCATCACCATGTGAGTACCTCCCATCAGCCTTCATGACCTGCCTAGCCTCCAGGGCCTCCTGGCAGACATCTGCTTGTTGGCAAAGCTAAGGTTCTGTTTTGGAGAGTGTCTCATGAAGACTTAACTCCTGAATAGTTATTTCTAGCAAGTGCCTTTTATGCTTGTGTTCAGCCATCATTGAAATACCATAGTTAGCTCTGCAATCAAAGCCTTGGATAAGGTTAATGGGAAAGAAAAGAAAGAGTATGGGTGATTTTTCAGGAAGATGTCATTGGGTCCCTTATGAGCAGCAGCTTTAATAACAAGCTGGAGACACACATATATACACAGGCACATACACATTTTGCTTATGAATAATTATTTTTCATATTTTTTTCTTATTTTTAATAACAGAAGCAAAAAAAAATCCAAAACCAAACCTTCTAGAAGAGGTACTTATTCACTTTTTTCTTAGGAGAGTTATTTTTAGGGCTGGAGAGATAGCTCAGTGGTTAAGAGCACTGGCTGTTCTTGCAGAAGGCCTGAGTTTGAATCTCAGCACCCACATGGTGGCTAACAACCATCCATAACTCTAATTCCAGTGGATCCAATGCTCTCATCTTTCTCTGCCACTGCATGACATGGGTACATGTACACATATGCAGGCAATACACTCATACAATAAAATAAAAATAAATTAATTAAAAAAGAGAGATTTATTTTTAATTGTGTGTATATATGTGCACCACATGTATGCAGTGCCAGTGAAGACCAGAAGAGGGCACCGAATCCCTTGGAACAGGAGTTACTGATGGTTGTGAGCCAACATGTGGTCCTCTGCAAGAGCAGTAAGCACTCTTAATCACTGAGCCATCTCTCCAACTTCAGCTATGTATTCTTAATTTTTAGAACTTGTTTTCTGACAGTTTCATTGTTTATAGTGAATTTTGGCCATTTTCACCCTTCATTCCCCTCTTGCACCCCTCTTCTCTCACTGAAAACGTGTGTGTGTGTGTGTGTGTGTGTGTGTGTGTGACCCACTGAATTTAATTAGGGTGCTTGTGTGAGCATGGGTGGGAGGTGATTTACTGGGGTGCGGGCAACTTATCAGCAGCTACACCACTGAAGAAAGTGACATTGCTTCCCCAAGCTACCATTAGCTGTCAGCGGTCCCTCAGGAAGGGGTGAGACCTCATGAACCTTTCTCCTTTCATGATGAAATGTTGATGTGCCCAATCTCGTGCAGGTATTGATCAGGTAACCATAACTCCAGAGTTCATGATTTAATGGTGTGGGCCCTGCGTTTGGGGGCCAGGGATGGAGAGTCACAAGGAGCCAGGAGATTAAGGAAGATCCACAGAGCAAATGCAATATACTTTACTGTCTCTAGGCAAGAGCAGGTACTCTTGGCCCCAAGGACATTTTATATGGAATCACACAAAGGTGGCTTCTTACTTAAACAGGTTATACAACAAGTTATGAAATGACTATGCTTACTGTTTTCCAATGGTTCCCTAGACATTTGGTATTGGCCATTTTAACTAAGTCATTCTGGTAGTCCACACCAGTGCCATGTTATCTAAGCCTTTTTAAAAATTTTATTATTTTTATTTTATGTGCATGAGTGTATTGCCTACATGTATGTAAGTGCACCCGTGTCCTACAGTGCCTGTGGAGGTCAGAAGAGGGTGTTGGAGTCCCTTGGAACTGGAGTTATGGACGGTTGTTAGCCACCATGTAGGTGCTGGAAACTGAACCCAGGTCCTCTGCAAGAGCAGTCAATGCTCTAACTGCTGAGCAATCTCTCCAGCCCCAGTCTAAACCTTTTAACCAGCCTTCACAGTCTTTATTCCCTTCATCGCCTGTGTCCTGTTCAGAGGATGTCTTTTTGCATCATATCTCCCCATTCTCTGACTCTTCCATCCTTTCCACTTCTTCTTCTGTGATGTTCCCTGAGCCTTGGAGGGGTGATAAAAATGAACCATTTGTGTTGAGCATTCCACTATTCCATATTCTCAGTACTTTGACCAGTTGTGATTCTGCATTAACCATCACCCACAGAAATAAGGAGCTTATCTGATGAAGGCTGAGAACAGCACTAATCTATGCATATGAACATGAGTATTTATTTAGAAGGCAATTCAATCACATTTCCATTTAGCAAATAGACAACAGTGGGATTCCCCCTTTCCCCCAGGGTCTATGATCTCCCTATCCAGGTCGACCAAGTTTATAGTACCAGGCACCAGTTACCTCCTGTGGAGGAGACCTCAAATCCAATCAGAGAGCAGTTGGTTCCCCTTTAACAGTCACACCACTGTTGTACCAATGGGCACACCTGGCCAGGCTGATAGTTACTGTAGCTTGTGAGTGTCACAGTTAGGTAAGACTGTTAATGACTTTGCTCTCCCAACAGCCTGAAGAGCACCTTTTGTCACTATGAGACTTAGCCATCAGGGCAGAAGTTCCAACTCAGTTCAAGCTTGATTTCTTCATGTTCTGTGACCAAAGTGTGTGAGGTCTTCAGCAATAGGGTCTTGGTTCTGCTGGGAAACCAAGAGAAATGGTAATAATCTGTATTGTTTGGGGGAAGCCTCTGGGACCTCCTTGACTAACAACTCATAGGGAGGTATCCTCCACATGCCACTGGGAGAGCTACTTATTCTTTGTTGTTGTTGTTGTTTCTTTGTTTTGTTTTTGGAGGCAAGGTCTCCCTATAGTTCCAGCTGACCTAGAGTTCACTGTGTAGACCAGACTGACCTCAGCCTCACAGTGATCTACCTGCCTCTGCCTCCCAAAGACTGGGATCAAAGGTATATGCCACAACACTGGACATACTCTTAATCATCGTGTATCTCTCCTTGAATCTGACCTTATGTTTAAGAACTGGATCTCTGAAGACATCTACACTGATGGCAGGTCTGACCAAGAGGTTATCCACAGAGCAATTTGTAAGCTTAAGACGATTATAGTTAAAAACATTCACAAAAGGCTACATCTTTGACCTCTTGTCAATTTTCTTCTTGCCTGCAATGGCTGTCATTGTGGAGATAGTGGTTGTTCCAGCTAGCTGAGTGTGGCTGTCATGTGGTCTGAGGTGCCTTTATGTCTAGAGTACTGCCCATGTAGGACCACCATTGTTTTTACCTGCAGATGGTCAGATGATAGAGTTGTCTCCTAAGGTTGTCTTGGTTAAAGGAGGGAATCATTCATCATAGTTATATGAAAACATCTGTCACAATGTCTGATATGCACATGTTCCTGGTCATGGTAGAAAAAAGACAGACACAGTGTAGTCAATCAGAAGACTTTAAATATGTAAGAACTATTTTTACCACAATTACACATATAGTCAAGCTGTAAGACCAGTGACTATACTACTCATTTGCTTCTTACAACTGCAGACTTACACATAGAAATGGAAGATTACATTGTGTGACATTTATGGTAAGATCTTGTGAAGTCTAAGTGTCCTTTGCAAGGAAGTTTTATCTATCTATCATCTATCTATCTATCATCTATCTATCTATCTATCTATCTATCTATCTATCTATCTATCTATCTAATCTATCTATCTATCTATCATCATCTGATCTATCTATAATCTTTTATCTATCTATAATCTATTTATTATCATCTATATCTATCATCTATCTATCTATCTATCATCATCATCTATCTATCTATCTATCATCTATCTATCTATCTATCTATCTATCTATCTATCTATCTATCTATCATCAATCATCTATTTCTCTTCTATCTTCTTCATCATCATCTATTTTTTTATACTGGATCTTGCTATGTACCCAGGCTTGCCTGGAATTTAACTATCAACTTCCAAAATGTGGGAGATGACCGGCAGGCACTACTACTCTCAGCATGCAAGAGAATTTTATTTCTTCTTTTTTCCTCCCCTCCCTCATCCTCCTCTTTGTCCTCTAGATTTTCTACTTCTTGACTATATTTTTGATTAATTAGAAAAGCCATTGTTTTCATGGTCAACTCATGGAGTTTTATTAAGTAACATGAGTAAAATAAATGCAGTACTGTGAAACTCAAACTCTAATGTATGAAAGAGAAAGAACACAAAGGCATTTGCAAAATACACTACAGCATATAGTGCTTTGCATCTGTAACAACCATTGTTTATGCTAGTGCCAGAATATTTAACTTGAAATTACCTTTCTAATTCTGCATTGGTTATCATGAGTTGTACTATATTGAATCTTTTAGAAAAGAAAACACCATCTGTGGCCTCACACATGTACACACTGACCAAGCATCCTGCAGGACCATAGAAATGTAAACCTGCTTGAGCATCAAGAGAGACCCTTCATCTTGAGCATCCTCCACTGCCCTCTGGTGGCAGAGCTTAACATCTATTCACGGCAATGAAGAAAATGCCCATGACAACCAGTATAAAGGGGAAATGGAAGCTGAGAGGCAGTAAACTAATTAAGTGGCTCATTTAATGTTCAAAGAATTTGGTCAGAAATAATTCAGTTTTTTCCCTTTTTTTGCTATTCTGGTGTTATAAACTTACGGCTTTACCCATACTAAGCAAATGATCAGCTGCTGAGTTGCATCTCAGCATGTAATTATTGAGTTTTACTAAGAGCTGCTCTACATCTGTTAAAATGGGGTCATAGCTTTTCCCACTATTTCTTTGAAATGATAAATTACATTGGACAATTTTTTCTGATAGCCAATCAACCTTACAGTCCTCAAATGAACTCTAGTCATAAGATATACACAGGTGTACAGGCACACATAGGTTGTTACACTTTATTATAAATATGTTCATCTATGGTTATAAGTGAAATTGACTTAAAATGTTGTTCATGCCCTTGTCCAGACTTGATATTTATCTTATAAGTAAGGTCGAGTAAATCTTTTTTTCCTCAGTGAAATTGTTTTACACAGATTTATATTTACACTGAATGTTTATTAAAATTCATTGTAAAACTTTGTGACTGGAATCTTCTGTGATTGTGAAGTGGAGATTTTAGGGTCTTTGGTGGTTATGAAATCATGTTTTCTATTTCTTCTGAATTCATCTTATTTGTCTTACATAT